GCCTTACAACGTCATGTTATTTCTTGTTTCAATGTCTTTTTCACATGTTTAAGACAGAGCATTTCCCCATAATCTTAATAACACCATTCTGAATTACTTCAAGTATTTGGCTTGTTTAAAACTTTAAATCATTCACTATTGAATAAAAAACAAAATGAGGCCGAAACAAAATGATAAAAAATACATTTGGTCCAAATATAAAGAAAAAAAATGTGTACATTACTACATTAACTCTGCCTGTTTGCGAAGTGTGGTGTGAACAATTACTGGGCCTATCCTGTCAAAATGTTTAACTTTTAAAAACGTTTTTTCTTTCCGATTTCATGTATTTATTAGTTTACATGCCAGCCAACAGAAATATATACCAGAAAACATAAAATACGCCCCTTTATCATAACCTGCTTCGTGATTTACCTGTTGTTTAAGGTTTCTTTTGTTGTTTCAAAGATTATCTGTGGTCCTGTCGTCCTCTCTTGTTCTGCACTCAAAAGCAATACTTAGTCACCTTAGTGTGTATACATATTTTAGCACTGGTCAATGAAATCTTTCAAGAAAATAGTTTATAAAGGTTATTTTAATCATCATTTAAAAGTTCAGCTGTTGCCAATATCAGTTCCTTTTAAATAAGAGTAAACAAATACCTTATTTTGTTATGTTTAAAATTTAATATTTATCATTTAAATGACTTTAAATACCAGGGACAATAAACTCTTTTGATTATACCGTTAGCTTTTTTGTTTTATTATTGTGATTCTGAAAAGTAACTAGTAACTAAATCTAGGGTATCAAATAAATGTGGTGAAGTAAAAAGTGCAATATTTACCTCAGAAACGTAAGCTGAAAGGGAAATACTAGAGTAAAAATGTCTAAAATTGTACTTATGTTCAGTAACTACTCTCATTAAATGTACTCAGCTAATTTCACCTACTGGTAGCCCCTTCAAACGTCCCCGGTAGAACCCGTATATCACCGGGGAAACTTGTAGGCTGGCATAATTAGGCTAAAATACTAAATTTAAATTAAGTTATAGCATAAACGTCCTTGTGCAGGTGAAAATATAGCCCTGACAATTAGTTTATACCAACGTTTGGGTTGTTAGTGCCTGCCAGGTATTTTATAGTGGTTAGAAAATGCTCCAGTTTATTAAGAAAAAGTTTCATGATAGCTGTTCTTACAAACTACTTAACCTAACATTTCTATCACCCGAACAACAGCATACACTTGAGCAACACCACAAGATGTAGATAATTTGACTATAGTCTAAATATTTCTCTATAGTGTCAACCAACCTACAAGCCAGCTGTCCATTTGATAAAGCTGCTGGTATCAGCATGTTTTATATTTTCCCTACCTCCATTACTTGTAACTTTCCCGGGTGTGAGGAGCAGCTGCAGTCACGCGCGTCACGTCACAACAAAGCTGTAAACGAGCATGTCGACAACCCCTAAACAAAACAAGGACATTACGGGTTGTCGGCTTCACTGGGGTCCTGAGGACTGTCTGTTTCAGTGAATCTAAGATTTTTGGTATTTCTTAATTAGACCATGGCCAAATCCGCACTGACGTCTTTGCCACTGAATTTCTAGAAATAAAAAATAAAAAAAATAATAATGTCGCTCTGAATGTGCCAGAGAACGCACACGAGGAGAACGGTTTTTAATCAGTTTGGCTTAATTTACTGTAATTTAAACGGGGAGCGCATGTCGTGGTGAATCTTGCCAAATTGAATTGTTAATCATGTATCAAATGGATTTTTGGAGATGGGTGAGAAGGTGGCGTGCACTGAGGGTAGTGAGAAGGCTGTCACAGGCAGAGAAGAGTCTGTGCTTTGCTCTTAGATAAATATACATCCTATAAAGGTTTTTCCTCAAGATATCACTTAATCAAAGACACCCCACGAATAATTATAAAGCTATTTAAAAAGACCCAGAACACGCTGACACACATTTTCACAGCACTTTAAAATCAGAAAAATTAATTTGCTTTCGTGTCTTGTCTGAATTCATAGATCCTAATTTTGAATAATGTCTATTTTAGGGATAAAATGTGGCCATAATCACAGACTACACTGTAATTCCTCTTCCTAAAGAGCAAGTACATGAGAAAAATGACTTGTAGAAAGCACAATAATTGATTTTATTTCTCTACAGTCTTTAGTGAGTATTGTACTAACAGTAGGTGAGCCATAAATATTATTTTAAAAAGACCCAGAACACGCTGACACACATTTTCACAGCACTTTAAAATCAGAAAAATTAATTTGCTTTCGTGTCTTGTCTGAATTCATAGATCCTAATTTTGAATAATGTCTATTTTAGGGATAAAATGTGGCCATAATCACAGACTACACTGTAATTCCTCTTCCTAAAGAGCAAGTACATGAGAAAAATGACTTGTAGAAAGCACAATAATTGATTTTATTTCTCTACAGTCTTTAGTGAGTATTGTACTAACAGTAGGTGAGCCATAAATATTATTTATTATCCCACTCTTTGCTGTGTCTTTGTCCCGCTGGCCCTTTTCGTGCCCTCAGAGTGATGTGGTAGGCCTACAATAAACTAAAGAGCCATCATTGTAACGGGCCGTAATGTAATTTGAAAGAGTGGAATTCCTGTCCTCGCGCACTTCCTGCCCCCTTCCGTCTGGGACTAGGATGTTTATGATAGCGCGTGCGGGTGGAATGCGTGGACTGGTCCGGGTCAGGTCGGGACCGGAGTGCAGTGACCACATGAAAAATGTTGTAATGTTACAACGACATTATGATTATGATCATTATTATGTAATCAAAATGTAATGTGTTAGGCTGTATTAGGATATTAGCAATCAATGACACATGTATCAATGATAACAACACATTCTATGTAATTATTCCTTAACTAGCTATAACTTAGTTACTATTAAAGATCATTGTGTTTTTATGTCCCCTTTGTTTTATTCCTTCACCTGCTTCAGGTAATGTAATCCAGACCTGGCTGAATTAGACTATTTATAATGTCTATAATCAAATAATTATTATGGATAATAAAATATAAATGATGTGAGATTAACTTCACAGCTAAAAGGAAAGGAAACGCAATGAGCACAGTTACACAGCTTGAGTTTTGTAATTCATATATGTGTCTCTCTTTATCTGGCACACATCAAGACACAGGTGAAGTCTTAGATTATGTGTTAATTACAACCAACAAACTGTATATTACAAATGTTTGTTTGTATTATCTTTGTAGTGACAAAAACATCTCCGTGGTGCATCTGCCCTAGACAGGCCATGGAGAGAAACATCTCCCACTGGTTGTTTCCCCGGACTGGTCTCTGACTCATTTGCATTGAGCCTGCATCATTCAACATCAACAAGATTTTGTCTCATCTCACTGAAATTTTTATGAGGTGTAGAATAGAAATGGGAGACGGGGGGGTTAGACAGATAGGGATGAGGTGAAGAGGAACAAGACGAATGTACCCTCAGCCCTCATGCAGTGTCTCCAACATGGCTCTTGCTCCTCTCAGAAAGAAGAGAGAGGAACTGAGCAAATAAACAGTGACCACCAGATTCCCCTCATCTCCTTTGCCACCCCCATGAGGATGAGGGGGAACACACAGATATAAAAACATATGCAAATGCACAAATGGTCACATTTTTGTGTATATGCATGCACTGCTAGAAACAGTGTCTTATTAAGGTGGCATGCTCAATGGGCGGTGTGTGACAGACACTTCCTTACTTTACACAGTTCATCTCCTCTCCTTCAAACACTCAGATCATTGTATGAGCATACATCTACGCCACTGCTACACCACCTCTCCACTACCATGGTCCTTCATTAGCTTTACTGCAGAGGGAGATGGGATTTTTGGTGGCACAGTGTGTTTACGTTTCTTATCGGCTGCAGGAAACCTATGGGAAGCCCTATGGCTTTCCACAATAACTCCTTTGACATAGACATAATCCATCAAAAAGACAAGGGGCCCTGACCTTTTACACAACAAGTTTAAAAAGACCTTTGAACTACTTTAATTTGCACTTTTCAATTTAAAGCTTAATTCTAGATAAAATTGCTTGAATCCTTGCACTAAGTGAAAAACAGATATGTGGTTGCATGTGAACATACGAGTGTATTGATAAATACAGAAATCAATGATGCGCATTTTTCTGCAAATGCAGTAACATAAAAAATTAAATAAGTATAAGACAGAAGAAAAGAGTACAAAATGAATAAGTCAGTTTAGTAGAAGGTGAGGAGAGAGGTGAAAACAAAGGACAGAGCAGAGGAGAGCCTCATTGTGTTCTCTCTAACCTTCCCTGAGAGGTGAAGTGCTGCAGCCTCCTGCCAACAAGATTCTCTTTGAGGTTTTCTTGAATTTCTGCCAGGGCTTAAATGATTCACAGAAGCAGAAGAATGTGTGTACTGTATGTGTGTTTGAGTTAAGGGAGAACCTTTTAGTAAACATGAAGATTTTGTGTGTGTGTGATTGAGCATATACTGTATATACATTTATGAGTGACGCAAAGAGAGCAAGATAATGGGAGAGAAAGAGAAAAAACAAGGTGAGCTGATGAGAATCAAAGCTCTGGGTGGATGTGAGCAACAGTAACAAGTCAAACTGACCATAAGCCAAAATGTTTCTGCCTCAAAATATCAAATTCCTTTAGATTTACTAGTTGAACCTTTTCACCCCTGAAACAGCTCAACTAGTCACAACCACAGCCAAACTCACACTTCAAAATCCCCAAGTAACCTCAAACCCGTTTCCACAGCTTCATCCCGGCTGGGGATTAGATTTCAGGCCAAATCTAAACAAGTCACTTCGTTAGAGGCAATTACACAGGTAGCTTACCTCACTGGGCAAACAAACATGGCTGCCAGCTGACACCCTGAAGACAGATCAAAGTGTGGACCTGACAAGGAACAGGAGGAGAACACTGAAACACTGGCTTGTTAGCCACTCACATACTCTCATTTTCACTTACACGTGCACAACTATGTGTGTGAAGATGTTTATGTGAGCATGCATACACATGACACACCATGTTCCTCACATGCTTCCTTTACATTGGCAGGGGATTCTGCAGTTGAAAGATGGAGGGGAGATGAATAAAGTGACCTTTGAGAATAGTGTGTGTTAATGGTGCAGAACAGCGGAGGTGTACTGCACATACGGTGCTAGGGGCCGTCCTCAGCTTTGGTGGTCTGTGTGTTACCTCGGTGAGGAATGATTTCAGACATGGTGGATGTGTTACCTGTCAAAGTGGCTCTTGTCTATGACAAGTTTATTATGAATTGTTCCACTTACAGTACCCCCTAGTTTTTAACCTAGTTTCATGTCATCTTGACTTTTTCATCTTAAACATCCTTACAGTACACAACCTTTTTTGACAGTTGTCCTTGACCAAAAATGCAACTTTTTCTCTCATGAATACTAAAACACACATTAATATTGTTTTTAAATGGCCAATTCAGGTGCATTCATGAACATAGCTGTTGCTAAAGTACAATAAAAGGTAACTAGGCATGTGCTGCTCTTTCTGTTTCTCTTTCCTGCACACTCTGCAGCCTCCGTTTGAACCACAGTGTTGTTAGGGCAACCGGGCAAGGTTATTCTTCCCTTCTCTAACATGCCAGCCTACCTGTGTACAATAGAGCAGAGCGTATGTGGGCTGCAGTGAATAAGGTAAGAGATGTTATCTAATCGCAGCAAGGAGAGAAGAGCAACAGGAAGCCAGGCAGTCGCCAGTGAACACCAGCTGTCCGTTAGAGTCGTTCTACTTGCTTTCTGTCTCCCTGCCATCAGTGTTCTATATTGTTCGTGTGTAGCGCCTTTATCTGCCCATCTTGTGATTATTCATTAAGTATAGCTTGCTGTGCTACTCTGCTAATGACAATCTTCCTGAGGTGGAACAGAAGCTGCTGTAAGAGACGGCTCCCATGCATTACAGCTTGATGTGCTTCAACATGTACATATGGTTTCTAAAAGAGAGGGAGCATGATGGGCGGATTTGTTGCAGGACTGTTGTTATAGGCTTAATGAATCTAATAGATCAGAAACGCAGGGCATTTTGTATGTAAGATTTTATTATACTGACACAATACTGTATGTGGTTTTGACTTAATGATTTGGTGATAGAAAGGCAAAAATCAGGAAAGAAATTTATCTTAAACTATAATAAATGACCACAAACAAACCAGTCATGTGGGCAACTTTAAGTCAGTCAGAGGCTCCTTATTATGGATTTGGCCATCATTTGCTTTCAGCATATGACATTGTCAGTGCTGAGAGATGATGATCAAGGCCAGTACTGCTGACTTCACACAGATTTTGTGAATATAGTTTGAGGATGAATCTTAAAACCACATGCACCATTAAAACACACATTTCTCAGCCGACAGCAGGCTCTGTTTGCACACAGT